AGAAGGGTCTAGAACCGAAACGTCAGCCTTCCTGCTCCTCTGATGCTGCTTGGCCTGCTGTGTTCATCCAGCTCTACACCTTGTTATCTCAGATTCTCCAGCATCTGCAGTTCCTACTATCTCTGAGTGAATTAAAAGATCTGGTTTTGTTCAATGTTTTATAGGGTGGGGGGAGAGTAGCTGTGTTGATTTGACGTTGCTGTTCCTACATGTAGATCTTGTTTTTGCTTGCTTGTCGGGTTTAAACATTGAGACATAATAATTACAGGAACAGCAGTTTCTTCAAATGCTGAGAGATGCTGGGAGCAAAGAGATGAAGAAGCATTTGGTGAGACAGAAATACTTGGCTCCATTGATTGAGCGCTATGAAAATGCTTTGCAAGCGTTTCAGCAGGTTCTTAAGGTAAGTCCAACCCAGAAGGGATCTTATTACAAGGTCTCTCAAACTAATGGTCAAAATGAAACTCACTTCAGGCATACCTCTTGTTTTTCCACTTTACTGACTGTACTAACACTTCTATATTTAGGGTCAATGCGAATTAATGTAATTGACTGGTTCAAGGGGCTGAACTGCCTCCACCCATATTACTAAACTAAAATTTGTGGAAGATAGGAGGCTGGAAACAAAGGGAAGAGATTGAATTGGGTGTTCCAGAAACAAGGGCAAAACATAAGAAATAGAAACAAGAGTGTGCCATTCAATCCAACGAACCTGTCCCATTGTTCACTAAGATTATGATAATGCGATTGTGGCCTTAAGTCCACTTTCCTGTCTGCAACCCCATAACCCTTGACTCCCTTGTCAATTAAAAATGAGATCAACTCAGCCCTTGAATATATTAAGTGACCCAACCTTCTCTGATTAATGCCCCTCTTAGAGTAGACATTCCCATGAAGACATGAGGGAGGAACTGGTCAGAGTTGACTGGAAAGGGAGCCTAGCAGGGAAAGATGGTGGAGCAGCAATGGCAGAAGTTTCTGGGGGTAATCTGGGAGGCACAGCAGAAATTCATCCCAAAGAAGAAGAAACATTCTAAGGGGAGGACATGGCAACCATGGTTGACAAGGGAAGTCAGGGACAATATAAGAGCAAAAGAAAAAGCATACAATTTGGTAAAGATTAGTGAGATGTCAGAGGATTGGGAAGCCTTTAAAAAAACAGCAGAGGACAACTAAAAAAAGCAGTAGTGGGGGCTGGGGGGTTGATGAGAAGATGAAATATGAGGCAAGCTAGCTAATAATGTAAAAGAAGATTGCAAGAGTTCTTTTTAGATATATAAAAGGAGGCAGGAGTGGACATTGGACCACTGGAAAATGAGGCTGGAAAAGTAGTAATGGGGAACAAAAAAATAGCAGAGGAACTGAATAGGTACTTTGTATCAGTCTTCATGGTGGAAGACACTAGCAGCGTACCAAAACTTCCAAGAGAGTCAAGGGCAGAGATTAGTGTTATGGCCATCACTGAGGAGGAGGTGCTGGGGAAGCTGAAAGGTCTACAAGGTGGATAAATCATCCAGACTGGATGGACTACACCCAGGGTTCTGAAGGAGATAACTGAGGAGACTGTGGAGGCATTGATGGTGATCTTTCAGAAATCACTGCAGTCAGGGAGGGTGCCAAATTTTCTAAGACCTCCAGCAGTTCCTTTTCTGTATTGTGAACTGTTTTTAAAACATCAGTGTTTATTTCCCTGAGTGCTCTAGCCTCCATTTCTTTTTCCACAGTAAAAAATGATGCAAAATACTCATTTACTATCTCTCTCATCTCCTGAGGTTCAACACAAAGACAACCTCGCTGATCTTTAAGGGGTCCTATTCTCTCTCTCTCATTGCTCTTCTGCTCTTAATGTTCTTATAGAATCTCTTTGGATTCTGTTTAACCTTACTTGCAAAGGCTATCTTATATGCCCTTTCTGCCCTTCTCATTTCAAATGCCCCTACACTCTTTATATTCTTAAAGAGATTCATTTTATCCCAGTTGTCTATATCTAATATGTGATTATTTCTTATTCTTGACTAGAACCTCAATATCTTTATTCATCCATTGTTCCCTACTCTTACCAGTCTTATTCTTCACTCTAATAGGAACATAATGCCTCTGAACTCTCATTATCACACTTTTGAAAGCCTCCCACTTGTCAGTCATCCCTTTACCTGAGAACAGTCTACTCTAATCGACTTTTGAAAGTTCTTGCTTCATACCATTAGAATTTGCCTTACTCTAATTAAGAACTTTAACTTTTAAGGAAGGCTTACTCTTTTCCGTAACTATTTTAAAACTAATAGAAATATGATCACGTCCCAAAGTGTTTCCCTGCTAACACTTCAGTCACTTGCCCTGCCTCATTTCCCAAGAGAAGGTCAAGTTTAGCTCGCAGGTATATTTACATATTGATTTAAAAAAGAATTCTGGAACACATTTAGCAAATTCCTCACCATTGAAGCCTTTAATGCTATGGTAGTCCAAGTCAATGTTTGGATAATTTAAATCCCCTACTATTACAACCCTACAATTCTTACGTGTGTCTGAGATCTCTCTCTCTATGTATTTGCTCCACAATTTTCCTCTGACTATTGGGGGGCCTATAGGACAATCCTATCAAGGTGATCATCCCTTTCTTATTTCTAATTCGTAACCATATAGTCTCACTGGACGATCCCTCAGAAATATCCTCTCTAATTAAGTAATAATGTTTTCCTTAATCAAAAGTGCCGCTCCCCTCCTCTCTTGCCCCCCTTTCTAGCCTTCCTATAGCACCTAAAACTTGGAACATTGAGATGCTAGTTTCTCAACCAGACTTCTGTAATAGCTATGACATCCCAGTCCCATGTTCCCATACATGCACTCATCAGCTTTACCTGCAAGATCCTTTGCATTGAAATAAATGCAGTTTAATTCTTCAGAGTTACCTCATTCTCCAACTTGCTCTTGTCTGCCTTTCCTCACTAAATTGCACTTTTCAGATTTAGAACCGTCTTAATCTGTCTTTCTATTTTTACTGCTACTTAAGAACACCCACCTGCCCCCAGCCCCCACCCCCTCTACGAGTTTAAAGGCTCCCGAAATGAACTAGTAAATCTCCCTGCCAGATGTTGGTCCCTTTCAGTTCAGGTGAAACCCATTCCTTTTGAACAGGTCTTTTCTGCTCCAGAAGAGATTCCAATGATCGAAAAATTTGAGTCTTTGCACATTGCACCATCTCTTCAGCCACTGATTTTTCTGCCCTATCTTTTTATTCCTACTCTCATTAGAGTGTGACACCAAGAGTAAGCCACAGATTACTACCTTTTGAGGTTCTGCTTTTTAGCCTTCAACCTAACCTTTCATGTTCACTCTGCAAAGCCATAACCCTTTCCCTAACTATGTCGTTCCTATCAATGTGTACAACAACTTCCAGCTTCTCACTCTCTCCTTTGACAATGTGCTCCAACCGTTTTGAGATGACTTTAACCCTAGACTAGGAAGGCAACATACTATCCTAGATCCGCACTCACAGTCACAGAATCTCCTGTCTGTGCCCCTGTCAGGACAGTCCCCTCAAACAATTATTCTTTTATGTCTTCACAAACTCCGTTTAGCACAAAATTCTTTCTTAGTGCTCAAGCAACTACCACTTCTATTTTATCGTGAGAGCCTATTCCCTTCAACAATAACCATAAGAAATCCACAAGAAACGCTTGCAACTCAGTAACAGCTGCAGTATCCATGCAACTCTCGTTCCACCTTTGCTGACCTTTGCTTAAAAGAAAACCCTCACAGAACTGAAAACTAAAATCTAATTTTCCTCCACTTTTGATTCCAAGTTCCCAAAATAATAACAGTACATTGCAAATCTTTATCACATGAAGTTAACTGTTCACCTGCCTCAGTTGTCAAACACTGACAGGTCAGGTATAGACACTGCCAGTGGTGAGGTATGAACTGACTGGCCAGCTGTGGATAGTATCAGTAGGAATTGGTATGATGTTAGTCCAGAAGCTTGTGATTCAGTCTCTTGGTGACACTGTCAATGTTTACATTTCCAATATGTTCTACACAGGATGAAAAGAGGAAGGAACGTCCGTGAATTAAAGAAACAAGAAGATTGGAAATTATCTGGACGAAGAAAATCCACTGACCACTTGAGTTTATGAAGGAACCTCAACTGGAAATCTCTGATATTGCTTTTCAAACAAATATGTTTATATACAAATGATGTATATTACAGGCAGCCAACAATTGTAATGGACAGTTTGTATTCTGGGGTCAATGGACAGTGTGTGATGATGTAATGTCAGCATTCATACCTGTACTGCAACAAGTTATTGATGTTACTACTGCTTGTAATGTTAATCGTGGATTTCATAGCTGGTCTGTGAAACTGTCCAGAACCTTGACACAATATTGGTCATTAGCCAGTGCTGAGCTAGCAACCTATAACCCACAGTGCCACATCTTTGAATGACATTACTGAAATTCCTTCACAGCCAGCATCAAGGAACTGGGACTCAGGTTTGTTTTCTTAGATGGGATTACTGTGATACAGCAGCATTTGTAGCCAGATATACCATGGACTGTTCACGCATTGTTTGAAGCTCACTGGTGTGTTTTCCACTGGTGAATGTCTATAAGAGGAGGAGAAAATCATGCAGAAACAATGGAAGGGACCGGAAGAGAAAGTATGACCGTCCTTAAAATATAAAGGCACCATAAAACTGCAGCCACCACTGAAAAGGAAAGCAAAGTTGATACTTGCACCAAAGGAGCTTTTCGAAGTCAATAACAAAGGAACTAAGTACCTTACAGAACTCCATCTGGATGAGTGTATTACAATCCCTGTATCCTGTCCCACTGTGGGAATCATCATAGAAACCCATTCCTGTTCTCGGTTAACATGCACTGAAGAAACATGTGTATTGTGGTAGCGGTCAAGAACAGGAATCTCGACCAGATTACTAATCAATGGCGTTCATGTCAATCATGTACAATCAACCCAGATATAACTTTTAAAAAATAAAATATTTTCAAACGAAGACTTTGAAGGCATTGAGAAAATAGTTGTCAATTACTTAATACAAAAATAATCCCCCCCCAATACTTAAATTATGACGCTTCTGTCCTACCTGCCTGATACTGAACTGTAAATCAACCAGCAGCTGTTGCTCCTCCCCACCCACATACTTGCATTTGTATAGTGTCATAATGTAGATGGATGTCCCTCACCATACCCTGACATCAATACCTTCCCAATTTTTAACTGTGTAGTCAGGCCGACATTGATTACATAAAATCTGTTGAGGCCAGAGCTAAATTTAATGTGTAGAATCCTAGATATTTTACGGAATAGAAAGAGGCCACCCTGCCCATTGTCTGTGCCCATGAAAGAAATGAGCCACTCCATCCAAACCCATTTTCCAGCATTCGCTTTGTAGCCCTACAAACATTTCAGGTGCATATCCAGACACCTTTTAAACAACAGCTTCTTCCCTGCTGTTACTAGACTGCTGAATGGACCTCTGTAACTTCAAATAATGTTGCTAATGTTGGTATTGCTTTGTGTGCCTCATGTGCAGCCATAACCTTGTATGCCCCGCTCTGTCTAAGCACCTTATGATCTATATGTCCTTGTTTGCTATGACCTGCCTGTACTGCTCGCAAAACAAAGCTTTTCACTTTACGTTGGTACATGTGATGACAATAAATCAAATGAAGAGTTGAGGCTTTCTGCCTCTTATCTTTCAGGCAGTGAGTTCCAGACCCCTACCACCCTCTGGGTGAGAGGAGATAGCAAGATCTGCAGATGCTGGAGTCAGAGACAACACAGTGTGGAGCTGGAGGAACACAGCAGGTTTGCCCTCAAAAATGCCCTCAACTGCATTTCTTGTGTTTCCCGCACTTCTGCCTTCACAATCCCTCCCCCCAACAGACAAAATGATAGAATTCCCCTTGTCCTCACATATCACCCCACTAACCTCCGCATCCAACGTATCATTCTCCACCACTTCCATCACCCACAATCCAAACCTACGACCAAAGAGATATTTCTCTCCTCACTCCATCTGCCTTTCACAGGGACCGCTCACTCCATGACTCCTTCATCCATTCCACACTCCCCACTAATCTCACCACCCCCGGGCACCACAGGAAGTGCTACACCTGCCCCTAAACCTCCCCACTGCCCTCCATCCAAGGCCCAAAGCAAACTTTTCATATCCAACAGGGGTTCACCTGTACATCCTCCAACCTGGTCTACTGTATCTGTTGCTCCCAATGTGGCCTCCTCTACATCGGTGAAACCAAGCACAGACTCCAGGACCATTTCATGGAGCATCTGTGCTTTGTACATGATAATCAACAATACCTTACAGTCACCAAATATTTTAACTCCCCCTCCCACTCACTTGGTGACATGTCCATCCTGGGCCTCTTCCAGTGTCACAATGACACCACCCGCAAACTGGAGGAGCAGCACCTCATATTCCACCTCGGGAGCCTACAGCCCAACGGCCTGAACATAGAATTCACCAGTTTTAAAATCTCCCCACCACCGGCCTCGTCCCATGTCCAACCCTCCCTCTCATCCCCACCTCCTTGACCTGACACAACCTGTCCATCTTCTCTCCCACCTATCCACCCATCCCATCCCACTGACCCAGCCCCACCACTCCCTACCGGCACTCACCTATCGCCATCCCATCTACCTTTCCCCAGTCCCACCCCTCCTCCCTCAAATTTATTTCCCAGCTCCCTTCCCCCTCCCCATTCCTGAAGAAGGGTCCTGACCCAAAATGTCAACTTTCCTGCTCCTCTAATGCTGCCTGACTTGCTGTGTTCCTCCAGCTCCAACTGTGTTGTCTCATACCTTCTGGGTGAAGATACTTTTCTTCATCTTCCTGCTATTATTTTCTGCTCTCTGTTTTACCACATTTTTCCACATTTGATCTTGTCCCAAATATTTAGTTCAAAATCCCTCTACTTCTCAATTTATGTAGTTTGTAAGCTCACCTATTAAGTCACAGTTTGGTTGTAGACATTCCCAATAATATAGCGCCCCTTCCCCCTAGATTAGTGGCAGTGCCCCACAAACCAGAACCTACTTCTCTCACAGTAGTCTTTGAGCCACACATTCATCTCTCTAGTTTCATGTACCCTTTTTCCAATTTGCAAGCAGGCAGTGAGCTCAGCTAATGATCCAAAGAATATGACCTTTGAGGTTCTACCTTTTAATACAGCATCTAGCTCCTTGTATGCCTTGCAGAACCTATGTCATTGGTACCCAGATGGACTAGAATGACTGGATCTTCCCCCTCCCCCTAAAAGTTCCTGTCCAGGCAACAGTCATCTAGTCTGTCACTCTTTGCTGCAGAGAATGGTGTCAATCCCCCTCACTAATAACATCCTCTATTGCTACCAGCAGGTCCCTTGATGCTCTCCCTTCTTGAATGCCTTCCTGTTCAACAGTGCCATGGTCAGTCTGCTTTCAGTCAGATAAGCTGAAAGTACCACAAACTTATTGTACAATTGCAGAGGCTGATACACCTGCACTATCGGTCCCCTCATTCTCAGTCATACCCTCCCATTCCTTACCACAGACCAGATTAGAAGACCCTTTACTATGTGGTGTGACTTCCCACTGGTTTAATTAATCAGAATTAAAGTATCCAGATAACTCTCCCCACCTCCATTCCTGACTCATTAGTGTTTATAGTTCAGCCTCCAGTTCACAAACTCTGAACTGAAGTTGCTCGAACTTTAAACACTGTAGACCTGTTTGCCCTGGATCGCTATGCTGTGATGTGATACATACGCTTACAAACTACATAAATTGAGAAGTGGAGGGATTCTCGGGCTGTAGGCTCTCAAGACGGAATATGCAGTGTTGCTCCTCCACTTTGTGGGTGGTGTCATTCTGGTACTGGCGGAGGCCCAGGATGGGTAAGTCATCAAGGGAGTAGGAGGGGGAGTTAAAATGTTTGATGCCCTGAAGGTATTGTTGATTATCATGCACAGGGCACAGATGCTCCACGAAATGGTCCCTGAGTCTGCGCTTGTTCTCACCGGTGTTGAGGAGGCCACATCGGGAGTAATGGATACAGTAGACCAGGAGCTCTGATGTGCTGTAGTCTTGACACCTTATCTACCCTGCTGTCCTTAATTAGTTTCAATTAATTATTTAATGATATAATTCACTTCTTATGTTATTTTTCCGGATGCTATTACCTTTTACTACTTGAGTTGCTTGCAAATTGAAAAAAAGGGTACATGAAACTAGAGAGGTGAACGTGTGGCTCAAAGCCTAGTGTGAGAGAGATAGTAGGAACAGCAGATGCTGGAGAATCTGAGATAACAAGGTGTA